TGCCTCCCCTTCCCATCTCCTCTATCCCCCACCTTTCCCATCTCCTGCCTCCCCTTCCCAGCTCCTGTATCCACCATTCCCCAGTTCCTGCTTCCCCCCTTCCCATCTCTTGCACCCTCGCTGAGGGATGGACACCTCCCCTCCCATTTCCTACATCCCCATCTCTCCCGTTTTCCCAATCCCTCCCGCCGGTGTGGGTGTGAGGGTCTCACGGAGCAGGGCTGATCCAGCAGCTCCCCCATCCCTCTCCAATCCCCCCCGGAGCAGCCCCTCCTGCCCATGGACACAGGGATGTGCTGAGCTCTCTCGACCTCTGCAGCTCCTGACCCTCATCCCTGCATCCGGCTCCTGCTCATCCCGGCTTTATCCCGGGGGGAATCATCTCCCGGCCACCACGTCACCGGGATTCACCCCGGCGAGGCCGGGCTCTCCCAAAATCCCGGGTGGCACCGGCTCTGCTCCGGCTGCTGCGGCCGGAGAAAATGGCAGAGCCGCCTTTTCCCTGCTCCCGGCGCTATTCCTGGCAGCAGGGTGGTGGGTTTGGCCACCTCCATCTGGGATTTTAAGGAAAGAGCATTCCTGGAGCGATGCTCCGTGAAGGCCTCGACCGTTTCTATCCGTGGGCCTGGAAAAATCAGCTGCCGCAGCCCCTGAAACCACAAGTTTTAAATAGAAATTCCGGCCCGGCCTCCCGGCAGATTAATCAGGCAGGGCCCGCTCCGGGGGCATAATCCGGGCGGCAAATTCCTGAAAATCCTTGGAGCGAACCGGCAGAGATTTCGAGAGGGAGAATTTTTAATTTTCACGGCTAAAAATAGACGCAGGAAAAAATTAAAAGAGGAGGGAAAGGTGGCGGGGGGTGACTCGGCTCTTGGCATCTTTTCCCGGGAAACGGCGTGTCCAGGCCTCCCAGTGTCCAGGCAAACACCTTCTCCACACCCCAGCTCTTCCTGGAATTGCCCCGTTCCCTTTGCATAAGTGTTTTTGTTCCTTTGTTTTTATTTTTTTGGGGGTTAAAAAGGCTGGGTTTTGGAGGCCTTGCTGGTGTAGCGTTACCTGGCACCGCCTCCCTTGGCTTTGGCTCATTCCAGAGGCAGCTTTCAAGGGCAAGGAATGATCCAAAAATCCCGCCTGTGCTTCGAAACGAACCGTGGTCGGCTGCCAGAGGGAGGGAGGGAGGGAGGGAGGGGAAAAAAAAAGGCCAGGATTCCCAAGGGATGGAAAAAAAGGAAATAATCCACGTTGTGAGCTGGGGCGTGAAGAGATTTAAGAGCCGGGTGGATTTGGCACTTGGGGATGGGGGTTTGGGGGGCTTTGGGATGTTGGACTTGGTGTTCTCAGGGGGATTTTCCCACCTTAAGGATTCTGGGATTGTTCCCTGGGAGCAGAGCCTCCCACCTGGCTCCACCCTCCTGTCAGGGAGTTGTCATAAGGTTCCCCCTGAGCCTTCTCTTCTCCGGGATTCCGGGACAAAATCTGCATTTCCTTAACAGGAATATTGACCTCCTCTGTCTGGCATCTTGGAATTTGGGGAGAGACCCCAAATCCAGGATTCCCCTCCCAGCAGCACATTTTAACATGAGGGGGGGGATCGGCCTCATTGAGCCCAGAGGGGCCGAATCTCCCAATCCCGATTTCCCCTCCGGGGCCGGAGTTCCTTCCTGTCCCTGTCCCTCAAGGGATATTCCCACTGAATTCCAGGGGCAACACCCGTGTGGAGGAGGCCTGTGAGATGTACACCAGGGCTGCCAATATGTTCAAGATCGCCAAAAACTGGAGTGGTGAGTCCAATCCCTGCGTGTGGGGGGGTTCCCTCATCCCGGGATGAGCCGCGAGGGCCCGAACGCCTTCCTGTGAGTTATCCCAGGCTGTTCCCGTGGGGAATGGGCTCTACGCCCCTGCAATTCCTCCTGTTTAAATACTGGGAGGGTGGGCATCCTGAAGGATCTTCAATGAATTTTAAGCTGGTAATCCTGCTGGGAAGCCCACATTCCCAAACACCCCACACCCCGGGTCCTGGAAGAGGGGTGATCCCGCTCATTCCAGGGGTTCACAGGATCCCTGTCCCTTCTCTCCCAGCGGCAGGAAACGCCTTCTGCCAGGCAGCCAAGCTCCACATGCAGCTCCAGAGCAAGCACGACTCGGCCACCAGCTTCGTGGATGCCGGGAACGCCTACAAAAAAGCGGATCCGCAAGGTAAGGGAGCGGAATCCGGGAGTGGAATCCGGGATTGTTCCCAGCCGAGCGCTCAGTGGCAGCGGAGGAGCACTCCTGCTTCTCTGGAAGAGGCTTTGGGATGATGCAGGCGGGTCCTGGCGTCTCCTCTTGGCTGTGCCAGAGCTGTGCCGGGGTTTGGGATGCCGTGTTGGCTGGGAAGTGCTGCCCCTCGGCAGTTTCCATCCTGGTTTGGCTTGTCTTGAGGGAAATAGTGGCTTCTTGGAATGCTTCAGGCGGGTTGCTGGGCTGGATCCCAGTGGGATCCCTGCCTTGTCCCCGGGGCTTTCCCCGCTCCTGACCTCTGATGGGGTGAGAATAAAGGATCTGGGATTCCTTAAACCTGGTTGCAAAGAGCAGGGTTTGTGCTTTTTGGGAAGGGCTCCGATCCCCCTTTCCCTAGCTCAGGGTGTGGAAGCAAACCCCCCACCTCCCCAGCAGCATTATCCCTGTTTTCCTCTGCTGGGGGGCCGATGGAACAAACCCGGGGTGGGTAAAACCCTTTTATAGCAGTAAACCCCCTGAATTCCCAAGGAAATGGCAGCCCCAGGATCGATGCTTTGAATCCAGGTTGTTTGTAGCTGGCCCATCCCAGCATTGGAGCGTTCCCCTTGGGAATTGCAGACCCCTAATTCCTGCAACCCCCCCCAACTCCTGTATCCCCCACCTTTCCCATCTCCTGCCTCCCCTTCCCAGCTCCTGTATCCACCATTCCCCAGTTCCTGCCCCCCCCTTCCCATCTCTTGCACCCTCACTGAGGGATGGACACCCCCCCCCTCCCATTTCCTACATCCCCATCTCTCCTGTTTTCCCAATCCCTCCTCCCGGTGTGAGTGTGAGGGTCTCTCTCTTCGGGTTCTGGAGTGGATGGGGGTGCTGGGGGTGGGCCCAGCCGTGGGTTTGGGGTTGCAGACACGAGGTGTGTCGTCCCAGGCGGGTGAGTAGGTGTTCCTTGGAGAGGCTGGAGCGCAGGGAACGCTCCGGCCGGGATGGGGGGGCGCGGGCGGGGCCGGCTGACGCTGTTG